TGAGGTGAGGAAGTGCCAAGGACTTATGGAAGACCCACAGTAAACTGCTGGGAAATGGGACCACAGGTAAGCCCTATGCCTTGTTCTCAGTTAATTCATTATTCCAGAATAAGAGACCTTGGTCATTCTCTTGCCTACCTACATTATCTTTTTCTAGCTTTGCCTTCATGTCTTTCTATATGTCTTAGTGATTCTATTGCTGTGTCTCAGACATATCTCTCTTCTCATTCACTGACTCTTTTCTCCCTTCCCCATCCCTGTTCCTTTTTCTCCTTCTCTTTATATTTTCTTCAACCCCCCTCTCTCTCTATATATATATGTTTACCATTAATATCTCTCTCTATCTCTGGAGTACCATTTCAAAGACCCTGAAAGTCAACAGAACCTAGGTTCAGGGATTATATCAAAGACTGGTAAAAATTAGGTTTATGTGGTTTTGGTTCTTATTAGCCCACTTGACTAAATGGAAAGGTGATCTGATCAACTTCTGTTGTTCTAGGGCTGTTTGAATATTCTGGTAAAGAAACAGAACACAGCACTTAACGTCTGTGTATTGGGCTGGCATGGGATTTCTAAGAATGTGCTTTGGAGAGATGGATGAACAGTGAAAACCAATCCAGAAGTACTTGTCTCTTCTGTCTTCCTCCTGTGTGTGAATGCCATCTAGTGGGATGAAATGGGAGGACGCCACAGTAATTGTAAGGTTATAAATGTAAATAATTTAAGGCCAGCTGGACTGTGACTGAAAAAGCATGGGATAAAACCGGACTCTCTGAACATGGCGAACAATGAGGGCTGATGAGACACCAAGGACAATGGCAGGGGGTTTTGATCCTACTTAATGTGCTGGCTTTGTGGGAGCCTAGCCAGTTTGGATGTTCACCTTCCTAGATATGGACGGAGGGGGGAGGACCTAGGACTTAACAGGGAACCCGGACTGCTCTGTGGACTGGAGAGGGAGGGGGAGAGGAGTGGGGGGAGGGGGAGAAGGGTGGGAGGAGGGGGAGAAGGGTGGGAGGAGGGGGAGAAGCATGGGAGGAGGGGAAGGGAAATGGGAGGCTGGGAGGAGGTGGAAACTTGTTTTTTGTTTATGTTTTTTTTCTTTTCTTCTTTTCGCAATAAAAAAAAAAGGAATAGGAAGACTATCATGTTAATCTGTCTCCTGGGAACCCATAATGTTCTGAGAAATGAGTGGCCTTCATTTAGGATGGCCTGCTGAGGGATTGCTGGATAAGGGAGTAGTTATGTCATGGGGGACTCAGGGCACTGGATCAGTTTCCCTTCATTGATTGCTGGCAAGTTGTGGTTGCCACTTGCACAGAATGGTGGGAGACTTGTCTCAAGTAAAACTAGAAGGCTATGATGATAATTTAGATTTTTTTAAGAATAGATCAGAACCTGAAAAGCCCATTTTGTTCTGAGGGACTGGAAAAAATTCCCCTTTCATATGCCCCTTGTATGCCCCCATCAGCACCTGCATCCCCTGTGCTCTCAGCACCACCTGTGGCCCTCTTGGCCAGAACTCTGGCCTGCCAGTGCCTACATTAAACCAACCTCAGCAGATGCTTCCGCAAGACCAGGGTCCAACTGAAAGTTGCATTGAGACTTTTATGGCCCTGCCTAGAATTCACCTCCTCCACAGAATTATTTGAAACATGAGAGACCCTCCTGGCTGGATTCTGAGCTACTGCAGGCAACATCTCATACACAGAACACCCCTGGCTCACCCCATGAGAAATCACAGAATAACTTGTTTGGCAGCCTTCCCTGCAGCACCCCCCCCCCCCCCGCCAACTCTCTGAGATCCTGCAAGGTGCCTTACAGACTCTACTGAGAGAAACCCAGGGACACCCTCTATTATGACCAGGACAGGTGAATATGAGGAGGCTAACACATTTCTATCAGTCTTTCGCCACCACTGGTAGAATCGTACACCATCATTTACAGAAAAGCCACAACCCTGGTCATAGTGAATGTATTTTCACCTGGAAATGTGTTTTCACCTTTTTTTTTTTGGCAAGATGTATAGCTCCGTTGCTGAGGACAACACCCACACAACTCATTGAGCATGGAGAGCTGAATTGGTGCCTACATAGAACCTTCACCCCCATCTTCAAGTATCTTTGGCACGGGAAGGTACTCTGCAGGCTACCAAAAGAGAAATATAAGTACAAAACCAGTCACAAATCCTTCGATCTTTCACACCTTTCAAATATTCTAGGGTACTGGTGGCACAAAATGTGTGGGAGCAACCAACCAATGTCTGCTTTGACTTAAGATCTACTCCACGAGATTGAACCCATAACCAAAACTGCTTGGGTTACCAAGAACCAGAGACCAGATAGCCAAGAAACCTATGATAAAACCAAATACTATAAAATACTCATAGATCAGTGCCTTATTCAGACATCATCAAAGAAGCATCCTCTGTAGCAGATGAGAATAAATACAGAGACATAAAGCTAGACATCACATAAGAGAGAGAGACAGAGACAGACAGACAGACAGACACACACACACACACACACACACACACACACACACACACACACAGAATCTCCATTAAATCTCCTCCCTCAGAGCACAGGAATCCTCATGGAAAAGGAGGTGGACAGAGATGATGGAGCACACCATGAGAAAAAGACCCTCTAAATCAACATGAACAAAGCTCATATGAACTCAGAGATACTGAAGCAGCAAGCACAAGTCAGACATGGGTCTGCACCAGGTTCTCTGTGTATATAGTATGGCTTTTAGTTTTGTATGGCGCTCCTGAGTGTAGGAACAAATGTGTCTCTGATTCTAGAGCTTTCTCCTAGGGTCCTTTTCCTTCTGTTGTTTTGCATTGTCAAGTTTTGATGTAATGATTTATGTTTTATCTTATTATACTTCATTTTGTTCAATTTCATTATCTCTTAAAAACCTATTCTTTTCTAATGAGACACAGAAAGGGAGTAGATCTGGAAGTGGGGAGGAACTAGAAGACATGCAGGAGGGGAAACTGTAATCAGGATATATTGTATAAGAAAATAGTCTTTTTAATAAAAGGGGGAAAAAGAAAAAAAAATCCTAAAATAGAAGTCTTCCGAGATCACTTTCTTCTTTTTAAAATTTTAAATATAATTTAAAAATCTTATATGAATTGGTGTTTTGCCTGCATGTATGCGTGTGTAAAGTTATCAGATACCCTGGAACTGGAGTTACAGACAGGTGTGAGCTGCAATGTGGGTGCTGGGAATTGAACCCAGGTCCTCTGGAAGAGAAGCCAGGGCTCTTAACTGATGAGCCATCTCTCCAGCCCCTGAGATCACTTTCAAAGGTAAAAAGAAAGAAAGATGTTCCTTGTTACTTTCAAACATAAAATCATTACATTAAAAAACTTTCAGTACTTTGCTCACAAAAAGGTACATTTTGGAGGTGATAGATTTTTTTGGTTAACTTGATGTCACCATCCACACTTTAAAAATATGCAACAACTTCAAACTGTATCATATCAATGGATGCAATAATTATTTCTTAATAAAAATGATTGCTGAAGCTGGGCTTGGTGGAACATGCCTATAATTCCAGCACTCTGGAGCAGGAAGATCAGGAGTTAAAGATCTATTTCAGCTACACTGAGAGTTTGAGGTCAACCTGGGTTGTGTGAGACCCTGTCTCAAAAACCTAACCAATCAAGCAACCAAGCAATCAAAGTTTTTTGTTTTTTGTTTTCCCCCAAGAAAAGTGTAAAAGGATTGGCTCTCAGGCTCTAGCCTTGACTTTCTGGCACTTATGTTTTGGCAGAGTTGTTTATCTTTTTCATCTTCCACTAGAAGTATAAGTGAATTCATAGAAGCTAGGAATTCAGAACTGAGTCCCCTGAACCTCTTCACTGCATCATGATCTCATAGGCACATGGAACTGCCACCCTCCTGGGTAGAAAGGCAACAAAGTTCTCTACAAGCCAACCCAGACTCTACCCATTGCTACTTCCAGAGTTAGGTTCTGTCTACAGATTTCCCCTGTACTGGCAGGTGACGGTACTGCCTGGGTCATGATGTTCCTAGTGCCCCAACCAGTGACCGTCAGATGGCACAAGACAGAGGATCTGTAAAGTTTCCCAAAGGAAGAAGTAAGGTAGCCTTGCTGAAAAATGTTTCTGTTTCCTTTGAAGGTAAATTTTAGTCAATACTTTGTGTAATATGAAAACAATTGCTATTTAGGGAGCTAGCCAGCCCTTCATTTACCAATCTATTCATTCTCTAAAGAGTCCTATGATATAAGAAACATCCCTGGGTCTCTATAATGTATTCTTCAACTCTGGCTTATGAGGCTGAATTAAGGTATCCGTAGACACATGACTCTTCATGTGACCTGGGTGATTGTTTTCATGGAAGCATCTTGAATTTACTCAACATTATTTTTCTTTGTGCCTAGTGCGGCTAAGGTGAAGTCTTTCTTTTTATGTATCAATTCATTGCAAAGCTAGAGGCTTAATTTTGTAGTGTAGAGAGAGGGAGGGAAGATGAAGGAAGAAAAGTAGAGAGGAAGATGGAGAATACAGTGAGCAGCAGAGGGAGGCTAAGGATGAGAGTGAAGAGGGGGGAGGGGCTAGGGAGGAGGGGAAGTAGAGTAGAGGCACCAAGGGATTAGGGGTAGAAGGTCAAGAGATTAGGGGGAGAAGGTGGTAGAAGACTAGCCGTCTGGAGTTAGAGATGGAATTAACTGGGCAGATGATGAGAAAAGAGATGGGAATAGATGAAAACATGGAGAGAAATAAGAGATGGAGGAGGAAGAGAGAGATGAGGAGAGGGGGGAGATAGGAAGCCAAATGGAGTAGAAAAGGATATGAAAAATTAGCAGACCGAGTCTAGCTGTTCAGAGACATAGAGTGGGAAGAAGAGGGAGGAGGGGAGAGATGACGGTACCAGGAAGAGGCAGAGGCTGTGACTGGATCCCAGGTCTGCAAGATCTTTAGAGTAAGCCAGGTTTATTAACCATTTTCTGACAGGAGAAACATGGTCCAGCATGTGGGTATCCTATTGGTTTCCATCTGCCTGCTTCACAGTCTGTTCAGTCTTCAAGAGGAAGGTGAGGCATGGGAGTGAGTGTGGCTGGGGGCGAGTTTTTGATGAAGTAGCTGCATACTTCAATACCATGTGTAACAAATTCTGAGATGTCCTGTATGAGAGAGGCCACCCTGATTTTGTGTGTCTTGATAAATAAAAGGGCAAGTTCTTTATTGCCCAGTTGTTTTTTAAAGTGTAGAAAACATGATCTGCCAAAAAGGCTCAAAACTAGCAAGACTAAACTAACAAGGGGAAAGCCAGATGTCATGTTACAGAGCAAGTTTTCTTTTCTATATGTTTTACATGCCTACAGAAGGAGAAAAACGAGACTTAGTTATGTAAAACCTATTTTATTTCATTATCCAAGTTGCGTTGTCTTGAGTGGCTCTGAAATAGCTATTTCCAGAGGGACTTTATTCTGCTTCATGTCTTAGTATTGTGAGAATTGTGAAGAACTATGCGTTCTGATTTTTATGGAGTGGCTGAGAGCACATGCTCATTTAAGTACTCCTCGGCATGGTTTAAAATAGCTAAAAGCCAGAACAGATAAGTGTTTAAAAATGAGAGATAAAAGAGGAAGAAGAGATTCTTATTGTGCGACCATTTTTCCATTAGCTGGAATTCCTATTTTATGATCATTGGAAGATAACACCTTTTGCCTTAGCTGTGTATCTTTATTTTAAAAATGAAATGTTTATTTGTGTATGTGCATGCACACTATGCATGTGGAAGTCAAAGGACAACTTGTAGGAGTCTGTTTCTTCCCTCCACCATATGGATTCCAGGGATCAAACGCAGGTCATCAGGCTTTGGCAGCAAGCACCCTTTTCCTCTGAGATACCTTGCCAGCCCAGGTCTCTCTTTTACCATGTACACTATACACAGTACATGTCTAGAAAACTGATAAGATGTTCCTAAGACCTCTCCACACTCACTGTTTGGCCTTTGAAGGGGCTAACATCTTATCACTACATGCATTATTATTATATCACTGCTATTAAGATGGAGATCCCATGCATCCTGGGCATGTTAGCCTCTACGTAGAATGACGTAAGACTGCTTTACTTTTGGTCATCCATCTATTGCTTATTCATGTTCCTCTTTTAGACAGTTCATGAACATTTGCTTCCTAGAATTGCAAGGGGCCCCATCAATGCCTTTTTGTCCAAAAATGAGTGTTTTTACCTCTGTGAATATACATGCACCATGTGCATTCCTGGTGACCATGGAGGGTTGAAGAGATGCCCTGGAACTGGAGTTACAGGTGGTTATGAGTTGACTTGTGGCTCCTGGGAAATGAACCCAAGTTTTCTCTCTGTAAGAGCAGCAAGTATGCTTCACCACTGATATATCTCTCCAGTTGTCACCTCAGTTTTGTTTTACACTGTGTGTGTGTGTGTGTGTGTGTGCGTGTGTGTGTGTGTGTGTAGCTTATCACAGTGCCTATGTGGTTGGTGGTCAGAGGGCAGCTTGTGAGAGCAGAGTCTCCCCTTTCACTATGTGGGTTCTAGGGATCTAATTCAGATCCTTAGACTTGTCTTGGTGGTAAGCACCTTTACCTGCTAAGTGCCTATGAGGCTTCTGTCTGAGCCCCTGAAGAGCATACTGAAAACTTGTGATGTTGCTCATGGTAGTCAGTGTGGGCTGTAATGATCATGTTTCCACCACAGTCAGTCTGAAGATGATAGGATGTCATCAGAAGTTAGAGGTGTTCTGCTTTCAGAGAAATCAGACAATGCAAACGATTAAGTTTTATCATTGTGGCAGTGATAGGTTGGTAGGCTTTGGGGTGAAAAAAATAAATGTCACAGATATCTTCAGTCAATGATTGAACAGGCACGTGGGAAGGCAGAAGACACAGGCCTTGAGCAATACGTGCTGAAACTATTTATGATCATGGCCTGGAGAAGGAACAGTGACTGAAGGAACAGTGACTGAGTTGGAAACACTTCACAGATGGCTGGTTTGAGTGATCTTATTCCAGAGTTGAAATTATTATTATTTTGGGAACAAAATATAGAATCAGAAGCCAGCAAATGTTAACCTCATTTGCTTTCTATTTATTTTTATTAATTTTTATTGTTTTAAAAATTTTATATATATACACACACATAATAAAATATGATTTTATATAATATACCCTTATTTCCCCCTTCAATTTCCTCCAACATGTCCCATCCTCAACCTTTTAAAAAAATATAACCCAGTAAGTCTAGTTAATGGCACTCAAGAATGCATGGGTGTGCCTATCCACTGAGGCTTGACAATCCTATCAGTAACCACACCCCCAAAAGCTTGTGAATGCCAACAGCTTTCCAGTAAGGCATGGGCCTGGAGAGATCATCTTCCTTATTTATGCTGGAACTTTGGCTCTATTGATCTTGTGCAAGATAATCACAGTTGTCATGAGTTCGTGAGTGTGCCAGTCACGCCATGTCTAAAGGGCAGAATTTCACAACACCTCTTCCCACACTTTGGCTCTTACGTTTTTTTTTTTTTCCTGCTCCCTCTTCTGCACCATTCCCTAAGCCCCAGGGAGAGGGACTTGATATGAATGTCCCATTCAGGGCTGAGCACTCAGTATCCTATGTTTTCTTGTCTTACCCCTTTTATTGCTTATATTTGATTTTTCACAACAACTGAATTTGGTAAGATTTTTTTTCATTTTAAGTGTTAAATTTATTGAAATAAATATTTGTTCCCAATTGTGTCTTTCAGATTATTATGCACCAACTATGGGTAAGTTTGCTTCAAAACCTTTTATTAGAAGTTGTGAAAAATATGTGACAAGTGGATAGTCCATATTTTTAAAAGACGAAATACTACTTTATGTGTATATACAAGGCAAAGTAAGTTCCTTTAAAAAATAGTTGAGGAATTTGTATGGCTTGAGCTTGCGTGGGTCCTGTGTATGCTGTCAAAGTTGCTGTAAATTCAAATGTGCCACCATCCTGCTGTGTCTGGTAAACAGTGTTTCCCTAAATTCATCCACTGTACTTTCTCTGACAATATTTCTACTCCCTCATTCATGATGATCCCTGAGCCTGGGGAGGAAGAAGTGTGGTGTAGATGTCCCATTTAAGGTTGAAAAATCCCACAGTGTCTTGTTCTCTGCATGTTGACAAGTTGTGGGTGTCTGTTAAATGCCAGTAATAACAAAAAGAAGCTTCTCTGAGGAAGACTGAAATCTATGAGTGTAGTGATAAGTTATCAGGAGTAGTGGGCAGGAAGTCCCACCCTTCACTGAGGAGCTATTGCTACTTGATAGCTTCTGGAGAAAAAGAGTTATTTCTCTTCAAGGAGGTTGACTCAGGTAAGTTGCCCACACTCCAATGGATGTCCACACACCCAATAGCATATAGGGAAAAATTTGGGTAGGTATGGAATGGGTGTGGATCCAGAAGGAGTTTCTATATGGAGTGAGTAGATCAAAATATAATGTATGAGATTAATAAAAATATTAAAAATAAAAAAATAGAAAGAACAATGATTTTTTCACTATTTTTAAATGATTAAATATGTCATTATGAACACTAAAACTGTTAGTTTCTTTTCTCAAAGACTGACTACTTGAAAACATTGGGAGCCTAGCCAGTTTGGATGTTCACCTTCCTAGATATGGACGGAGGGGGGAGGACCTTGGACTTTCCACAGGGCAGGGAACCCTGACTGCTCTTTGGACTGGAGAGGGAGGGGGAGAGGAGTAGGGGGAAGGGGAGAAGGATGGGAGGAGGGGGAGGGAAATGGGAGACTGGGAGGAGGCGACAACTTGTTTTTTTCCTTTTCTCAATAAAAAAAAGAGAGAAAGAAAATATTGAAGCAGAACTTTCTTGTGTCTCTTCATATGGTCATTTTTGATAACAGCTGAATGTACTATAAAGCATGTTTTTCTTTAAAATTCCCTCACTCACTTTAATATACTATTTCTAGGAAGAACTATTTTACTTTTAATTGTATGTGTGTGCATGCGTGTGTGTGTCTGCTGGTACCCACAGAAGCCTTGATTTGGTCCTACATGCTCTTTGACTGTTACAACCCATCTACCCCTCTTCCATGATATTTCCTGAGCCCCAGGGGTAGTGCGTATGATATGGATGTTCTATTCTGGCTGAACACTCCCTAAGTACCTACTCTCTTCACTTTGACCCATTGTGTTTTTCCGAGTTAACTGCTGTGAATGGCATTCTTTTTTTTAAAAAATATTTTTTAGGGTTTATTTAACTTTATTTTATGTGCATTGGTGTGAAGGTGTCAGATCCCCTGCAACTAGATCTTCAGACAGTTGTGAGCTGCCATGTGGGTACTGGGAATTGAACCCGGGTCCTCTGGAAGAGCAGTCAGTGCTCTTAACCACTGATCCATCTCTCCAGGCCCTGTGAATAGCATTCTTAATTGGAGTAATATTCCAACTAAACCTTAGGAATATGGGATTATCTATTGCCAACAATACTAGTTAACTTGACTGGAGAGGGGACTTCTAATTTATTTGATATTATAAAAGAGAAATAACCTATAAGCCTATATAAAATAATAGGCTACTTGAAAAGTTGATAAAAAATTATTAGAATCTGTCTTTGTGACTGATATAAAATAAATATATTGTAAACACATTTTCTGGATAATTAATGTTAATAGCCAGACAGACACTGATAAGAGAGAAGGTACTCTCTTTTACACTGATGATGAAATGTACTTTGAATTTAAGTCATTAAGAGATGTATGGGATTAGGAGAGACTCTGCCTAGAATCCCTCAGTGAGGGGTTGCGGGTGTGGCTCAGTTGGTAGATCACCTGCCTAGAGTCTCTCAGTGAGGGACTGGGAGCATGGCTTATTGCTTTCCCAGTGTGCACAAGGCCCGGGTTCAGTTCCTAGGAATGAAAAATATGTAGGATTTCAATAAAGTAAACCATTTAGGTGAATAGAACTGAGTCTGAAAAACAGTACATGTGTGTTATCCCCAACATACCCTCATGCCAATGTTGGTTTTCCTTAGCCTAACATAGCTATTAATGTCATTTGCTACAAGAGTCTATTTTAAAGCCTAAGATTGAAATGAACTTTACTTAAATTTTTGTCTCTCAGATTCTGTCATTAGTAAGCCAGAGATAGAAGGTAAGTTGATCAGAAATTTTTTGTTATTAATATATGTTCTTTCTCTTAGAATTTTTTTCTTTTTCTTTTTCTTTAAATTTATTTATTTATTAAGGATTTCTGCCTCGTCCCCGCAACCGCTTCCCATTTCCCTCCCCCTCCCCCGATCAAGTCCCCCTCCCTCATCTGCTCGAAGAGCAATCAGGGTTCCCTGACCTGTGGGAAGCCCAAGGACTACCCACCTCTATCCAGGTCTCATAAGGTGAGCATCCAAACTGCCTAGGCTCCCACAAAGCCAGTACGTGCAGTAGAATCAAAAACCCACTGCGATTGTTCTTGAATTCTCAGTATTCCTCATTGTCCGCTATGTTCAGCTAGTCCGGATTTATCCCATGCTTTTTCAGACCTAGGCCAGCTGGCCTTGGTGAGTTCCCAATAGGGGTGAGAGGGTTCTTCTCTTAGAATTTTTATCTTTATTTTTATTTTATGTGCATGGGTGTTTTACCTGTCTGTATGTCCATCTGTTCACTATATGCATGCCTAGTGCATGGGCAGGCCAGAAGAGGGCATAAAATCCCCTGGAATTGAAGTTACAAATGATTGTAAGCATCCATGTGGATGCTGGTAACTGGACCCAGGTCCTCTGGAAGAGCAGCCAGTGCTCTTAACCACTAAACCACAATCCAGTGCCTTTGTGTACTCTTCTGATCCCATAAAATGGGAACATTGATGATTCTTCTAGTAAATTTTTCTTCCCCCCCTTTTTTTCATAAAACATCATGTATGACTCTTGTAAACAGATAAAACACAAACTATGCCACCATGACGTCTTACCAACACTAAAAATGCATACTTTTAAACTTCTACCATTTTCATAGAGAATCCTGGATTTTAAAATTTATATAAAAACCAACCAATAATAATTTGGGATATTGTGAACAAAACAGTGATGAGATAGAAAAACACTTTATTTTATAATCAACTGTCTAACCGTAGTATAGATGTTTCAATATAAAAACACGGCATCAACCTAGGCAGAGTCAAATAAGGAATGTGTTTTTAAACATGTGGAATCCAGGAATTTCTCATTTTTTTCCACAATGGCATTCATAGTTCTGTTTGTGGCTTTGATCTCAGAGGTCAGGGATTTGGAGGAAAAGCTCATCTTTTTAAAGAGTTACTTTCAGTTTATGGTTATGTATGTGCCTGTGTCTCTATTTTGGTGTGTTCATGGGAGTACAGGCACCTGTGCAGGCCAGAGGTATAGGTATTCCCCTGGAGCTTGAGTTACAGGAATTGTGTGAGTTGCCTCACTGGGGTGCTGGGGATTGAACACGGATCTTCTTGTGTATGTGCTCTTAACCACTGAGCCATCTCTTCAGTCCTGGAAGGACTCACTTAATAGTTTTAAAATAGAGTAAATAGTTTTAAAAAATATAAAAATATATTATATAGAATAGTTTCTATTATATAGAATAGTTTATACTTATTCTTCAGCAATTTTACATATGTAAACAATGCATTTTGACCATGTCCATCTCTAAGACCCTGTTCCAATCCCCTAATGTCCCTAACACCCCTTCCTCCTTTCATGTCCTCTCCGTTTTTTCCTGTTTTGGTAACTCTCTCAGTACAATTAGTGATGCAGGTTGGAATGTTGACTCATCTTGTTGGTTTGATCTTAGGCAGGTCCCCACAGCTGTAGTGAGATCATGAGAGTGATGGTCATGCTATGTCTAGAAGATACTATGTCTCCAATCCCCTTCCTATCATCCTGCCCTTACATTCTTCCCATTCCCTTTCTGAGATGTTCTCTGATTCTTGTGTGTGTATGTGTGTGGTAGGTTGATACAGATGTCTCATTTAGTTAATTAAAAAAAATACTACCAACACACTCAGAAACGATGGATAAAGGATTTTTGTTTTCTTTTAGATGGTGAATGTGTCTTTCCATTCTGGTATAGAAATGAAATATTCTATGACTGCGTCACTTTCAATGCAAAACACAAGTGGTGTTCTTTGAACAAGACTTTTCAAGGTTACTGGAAGTACTGTTCTCTCTCAGGTGAGAGTCTTGACTCTAAACTCCACAGGTGAGAGTGTCATCCCTTGTATTGGGAATAATTTCATGTGATAGGCAAGAACTCAGAATCCAGAGCAAATTCTGAAGTGAAAATAAGAGATACACAACTTCTTTTGTGGTGTCATGTGTGAATGCATATGCTATATGTGTTAGTATGTGTGGCTGTGTAATTGTGAGTGTGTGGACAATGTCATGTGTCTCCTTCTAGTACTTTCCACTTTATTATTATTAATGTTTTTTGAAACAGGGTCTCTCATTAAATCTGGAGCTCACTAATTTGTTAAAACTACCTGGTCAGGAAGTCCAGGGGGTCCACCTGTCTCTAACTTCACACTGTTGAGATTAGAGGCATGTAATACTATGCTTGGTTTTTTATTTGAGTCCTGGGGATCTGAACTTGGGTCCTCATGCTTGCACAGTGAAGACTTTATTTACTGAGATATCTTATCAGTCCCTGAGATACATAATTTCTGATAGCATCAAAATCACATATAATCAAAGATGTATTAGAAATGTTTTGACTCCATCATCTTTTAAGAAAACTACCAGTAGAACATAAAAGGAGAAGAGGACTGCAGGGTACTACCGATCTAATTTTCTTAAGTTATTGGTGTACTAAGGAAGAGCAGCTTGTGTAGAATTGTGTGTATGTGTATGTATGTATGTATGTATGAATGTCTGTATATGTGTGTGTATATATGTATGTCTATATATGTATGATATATGTCAGTATGTGTGTATGTCTGTATATGTTTGTGTGTGTGTGTGCATGCATGTGTGTGTGTGTGTGTCTGTCTATATGTATTTGCTGCAAAGAAGAAAGTGTTTCTCTTCCCAATGACTCTTTCTCTTATAGACTATGCTCAATGTGCCTTTCCCTTCTGGTTCAGACGCATGATCTACTGGGATTGCACAGAGGATGGGGAAGTGTTTGGAAAAAAGTGGTGTTCACTCACTCCAAATTTCAACAAAGACCACATTTGGAAATATTGTATATAATGGTGAGATTGACCAGATGAAGATGAGGAGGAGGAGGAGGAGGAGGAGGAGGAAAAGGAAGAGGAGAACTGGGGGGAAATACTGAGTTTCCTTGGAGAGTATCCTTCTTTCTTTTGGTCAGGAGAGGAAGAGGTGGAATCTTGATTTCAAGCTTTTGTTCAAATTTAAATTTTCTTTTTCTAGGATGTGAGATGATGATGCTCTGACTGTAGATGACCTCAGGTTTAAATGATGGATTATGGTATTTTATGGAGAGTTATTGCTTAGCTTCCACATTTTATTTGCTATGTATATAAAATGAAGCTCTTAAAAAAATACCATGTCAGGTAGAAGCAACCTATCAGTGTCATTTCTTTATTGTCACAGTCACACTGCTCAGATGGGGTTGTTGTTAATGGGGGGGGGGAGTGATGCATGTGCAGAACAAAGAGAACATGAGAAATCTACATAACTTCTGCTTGATTTTGCTTTGATGATGAAAATGTTCCAATTAAGTCAAGTAAACATTCATTGCTGAAGAAAGGCTAAATGTGAGAATACAGTTCATGCGCTGCTTCATGCCCACTTTGTTTTATATCTGAGCCAACTTATCTCATGCTCCATCCTTTCCACTCCCACCATTTGTAACTGACAGAGAAGAATTCCTCCGCAAATGCCTTATTTTTTTTCACTCATAAGAGGAACAGAAAACCGCCAAACCTATCCTAACAGATGAGAAGAATTTTGCTGTGGAAACACCACAGCAACATTGACAAAGCAGCTTTGGAATACTCTGCTGAGAAGCAAAAGCTTCCTAAATTGTCTTCCTAAATTGGAAAATAGCTGAACATAATTTATTGGATTTTAAATAGAAGATACTGAGGAATTATCAACACTAGACAATAGGGGCTGTATCTGGTACCATGTGGATGGGTGGGGATTGCACTTACCTCCTTCTTCATCCAGAACATGAAAGAGCCTGTGTAAACCTTAACTTTCACGAACTTGGTTCTATAGGTACGAAGATGATGGGAATAGCTGCGGTGAGCTTGTTAGCAGGGTTACATGAAACCTGGTTAGATGGAGGGTTGACAGGATGCAGGGCCCCCTATTCAGTGGCCCCCATCTTAGAAACCAGGCAGCAATCTTTATGCCTTTCTGGGCCTTTGAGGCTTTTTGGCTACCAGGTGATCTCAACAGACATCAGTACCCATTTAGTTCCTGAAAGGAGAAAGCTAAAGACCTGAGTCTTAGAGGTCGGTGTCTGTGTCCTTTCTTACCCAGGCAGCAAAGCCAGCGGTTCTTGGGCACTGGAAAGGTGTCTGGTCTAGAGCTGGACATAAGAGTTAATGTGAGAACACAGTACAAAATAAATGGAAGCCTGGGTCTCCATTACCCAGCTTTTTATGCCTTAAATAGGTTCACATAGAGCCACCCCACTCAATGTCTGCCTTTTGCGATACTCATAGATTTTCAAAAAAAAAAAAAAAAAGATGATGTCTTGGTATATAAGCAAGGTTTGCATTAAAATGTTGAGTTTCTTACCATAGCCTCCCGAGTTCTACGATTACAGGCCCTTACCTCCGTGTCTGCTGCAATATTAGAGCCTTTGAAGATCACATTCTAGGGGCTGATGAGATGGTTGTATGGGTAAATTCACTTGCCACCAAGCCTAGTCTGATGACCCGTTTGATCCCTAGAATCCACATGATGGAAGGAGCAAACAGTCACCTTGAACCCTGCTTTCTTCCTCACAATTTAAGATAAATGTAATTAAAAAATAAAGATCACACTGTAAAGGGGATCATGCTTTCCAATAGTGATGTTTATTTTCTCTTGGCACGGCATGACCAAATAAGAACCAGATCTTCAATTCATCGTGACTTTATGTAATTGTAATTGATTATGTACAAATGTAAATCCATAATGAAAGACCCCAGAAAATCTGACTTTTTAAAGGTCAATACTATGCTAGTCATTCACCGTGGAAGAAAACTTTGATTTTATAAAGGCTTGGTAAAGTGGAGACGCTGAACTTGCTGAAGAGTGGAACTGATGTAGCAGCGCCATTAGGTTTGTGCAAGGAGCTCATTTGATGAATGCACAAGCCCTGTGCTCCAACCCCGGTACCTCATAAACCAAGCATGGTGTCACAATCCTGTAAGCCCAGAATTTAGGAGGTGGAGTCAAGATGATCAGAAGTTTAAGGTAATTCTTGTAGGTTTGAGGCCAGCGTGGGCTACATGAATCCCTGTCTCAAACAAACAATCACACAAACAAGAACCCCTCCAACCCTCCCAAAACCAATTGTCAGTAATACTCAAATTGCTCATGGAAAGAACAAACAAAAGGAAGGAGAAATGAAAGAAAATTTAAAACATGCCATTCATGAGAAATTTAAAAGAAGTGAAAGAGTGAATTCGGTATAGAACAAATGGTCACTAGGAAAGATATGCTACTTTAAGACACAGGAAACACACTCCAGGGAGATAAGGTAGCCAGTTGTTGTGATGCATAAGGCTAAGAGGATAATGAATGAGAAAGGCAATTTTACACTCCAATACTTATTTAATTATGAATCACACAAGAATCTTAGAAAAGCCTCATTCCTAGTCAGTAGAAGAGACAAAAAGCTGTCAGTGGGAACCCCAGTGAAGGGATCTGACACACATATGTAGATTCAGAGGCCATTGTGGACAAGGTCATCAGACCAGGTAATCTCAGACTTTTTTCAGTGTGGCAGTTCAAAATATCTTTACGAGAACTTCCTTGTTCCCCAGAGAAATGTGAGCCGAGAGAAGCGAGGCAGGTAGGAGTGGACTGGACACTTTGGCTGCTGGAGGTTCTCCAGAGAGAAACCTGGTATGCGCCCTCCTCTGGGAAGGGTCTGCTTTTTAGAAGGTTTACTTACATGCTTCTGACTCAATTCAGCACTTTCAGTCCTAGTCAGTGTTCATATTCCATTCCAGCCTTCTTCATGTGTGAGTCTGTGATACTGGCATTGAATATGGGGCCTCTCGGAAGCTAAATCAAAGCTCTACCACTGGGTTGTCTTCTCAGTGCTGCAGTCCAGTCTTTTAGAAAGGGAATGATCCTTCCTCTGGCTTGTAGGGGTCAGAGGGATCAACAAGGATATGACAAGAAAACCCACAGAAACAACTAACCTGTCTCATAGGAACTCACAGAGTCTGAACCAACAACCAGGGAGCCTGCCTGGGACCGACCTAGGTTTTCTGCACACATGTGACAGTTGTGAAGCTTGGTCAACTTGTGGAACTCCTAACAATGGGAGCCGGGCTGACCCTAACATTTTGGTGGCTCTTGAGATCCTAGTTCTCATGCTGGGTTGCCTTGGCCAGCCTTAGTACAAGGAGAGGTGTTTAGTGTTATTGCAACTTGATATACCTTGCTCTGTAGAAACCCATGGGAGGCCTGCTCCTTTCTGAACAGAAACTAAGACGGACTGGACTGGGAGGGGTAGCAGAGGGAGGTTGAGGGAAGGGAAACTGCAGTTGAGCTATAAAATAAATAATTAAATCAGAAAAGAAAGGGAACAATTGTTTCATGTGGAAGCCAGGCCTTGCCCAGTCTCATTCAGTGGTAGAAACTAAGGGGTGGCATCTCACGTCAAAGACAAAGAAAATTCCTGTCTCCTATTACCTCCTAAAGTCTCTTGGCATGTGATCAGGCCTAGCCCTGCCATCTCCAGTGAGTCTCAGGTGCCATGTCATCTCCTGCACAGGTGGTAATCTTCAAAAAGGGAGATTGGAAGTTTCCAAAGAGGGCCAGTTCTCTTATTTAACATTCCTATCAGAACAGGTGACACAGTGGACTAAGCTACACTCACTTGGAATATTGTCCTTTGTGTTTGTGAAGTCATGAACGTGCATTCCAGACACATGCAGCCCGTTCCTGACCCTGGCACACAACATACCTCTGATGTACTCGAAATCTGAACCTCAGATTTGTACAGATGGTACAAATTTCAGGGTGTGCCTACCAAGTGAGAGGGCTGCCTGAACCTTTTATACGAATTATTTTGTCATCCTTTTCTTGACTCCAAGACAAAGATTAGAATATCATTTTATTTATTTTTTATTTTTTATTTTTTTGGTTTTTTCGAGACAGGGTTTCTCTGTGGCTTTGGAGCCTGTCCTGGCACTAGCTCTGTAGACCAGGCTAGTCTAGAACTCACAAAGATCTGCCTGCCTCCCGAGTGCTGGGATTAAAGAAGTGCATCACCATCGCCCGGCATAGAATATCATTTTAATACTTTGTATTTTTCCCTTGTTTTTGAGAAAGTTCAGAGAGAGAGAAAGAGAGAGAGAGAGAGAGAGAGAGAGAGATATGCACAGAGAGACAGAAAGATATATAATAGATATAATAGACAGATATAATAGATGATAGAGATAAGTAGATAGATAGATAACCTATACAAACAAGGAATTAAGCCTTTCATAGAGGCTGGTCATGAGGGTATTGAGTCGTAAGGAAAGTAGAGAGAGATAGCCAGGAGAAGAAATGTGTAAGTTGTTGGCTAAAGATTTACATACTACATAAAGAAATATGTAGGCTTTAAGGTAAAGATTTACTGCATAAAATAATGTGAGCTGTTGGCTAAAGACCATATGATAGATATATAGAAACAGCAACTGAATGTCTTGGGCACCAGAGTTACAGATTTTTACAGATGTCCAAAGGCATAAAAAAACTGGGAGAGGCAATGGCTGCCCTCATTCTAACATTTCAACAGTATTGTTGCCGATTAATTTAATTTTTGAGTAGTGTACTTTCATGTAAGAATGATGGCAATAACTTCTGGGGAGCTATGAAGCCCAGCACAACTGTGCCATGTGCCATCTGGATCAGACTCAAAACATGTGGAGGAGCTGCACACACATAGATGGGTTGGATATACAGTGTTCACCAAACTTCATTACCCTAGAGAGATGTACAAATGGATAATGGATAACTATTAGAATTCATGCCAAGAAAGACTTTCTACTTTTTAACGATTCACCTATGCACAGGGAGTGTGGTTGATGAAGTTCTTTGTAAGTATGTCATGGGGAGATTGATGCCAGTTTCTCCTAGTAGGGCTTGTGATGGACACTGACCAAGCAGTTATAAGTAAGCATGGGAGGTCCCTAGTAAGGTTTTGTGCCAAGGAGAAGGAGTCCCTGAGGCATCTAATAGTATGTCTGCTTTCTCTCTCTACTCACTTGCCTCCTTAAATGCAGGCCTTCTTCCACAAGGTTGCTATTAAAATAATTTTGGTAGTATATCTTGTATCTTTTATAACATTGGGAGAGTCTATTTTCTTAGGCAAGAAGCCACAAGTGGCTACTCTATGATTCCAGAGATTCATGGGAATCAGGAGTTTCCCATAAGGTGTTATTGGTTGGTAAGTATAAAGTAACTTGATCGGGGGAGGGGGAGGGAAAAGGGAAGCGGTGGCGGGGAGGAGGCAGAAATCCTTAAATAAATAAACAAACAAACAAATAAATAAATAAATAAAACTGTTTGGGGTGATTTGTAAAAGATTTGAAATACTAGTCAGTAAAATATGAAATAATTTATGAAAATATGAATAAAAATTTAGTCAGTAAAATATGAAATAATAATACTATCTTAGTTTGAGTTTCTATTGCTGTGCAGAGACACCATGATCACAGCAATTCTTATTTATTTGTTTATTTATTTAACTTTTTTTTTGAGACAAGGTTTCTCTGTAGCTTTGGTGCCTGTGTTGGAACTAGCTCTTGTAGACTAGGCTGGCCTCAAACTCAAGAGATCTGCCTGCCTCTGCCTCCCAAGTGCTGGGATTGAAGATGTGCACCACCACTGTCAGGTTCAACTATAGCAACTCTTACAAAAGAAAACATTTAGTTGGAACTGGCTTACAGTTTCAGAGATTTAGTCTATTATTGCCATGGCAGGAAGCATGGTAGTTGTTAAGCAGGCAGACATGGTGCTGGGGAAGGAGCTGAGAATTCTCCACCTGGATCTGAAGGAAACAGGAAGAGACTGGCTTAAGCATTTGAGACAGCAGAGCCCAAAGCCCGCCCCCTAGTAACACACCTCCCTTGTCACTCTAAGCAGGCCACACCTTCTAATAGTACCACTCCCTAGGGATAATGGGGGTCATTTTTATTCAAATTACCACACTGACATATGTATGAAATTTTTAAAATGGCAGACTACACATCTTACATATGTTTATGTATAATTTTTGAATATTTTAAAAGGCCATAAAAGATATGAAGATTGATATCAGCTGAAATGAAGAAAATGTACCAATTGGAAAATTACTTATCTCTAGCAGCTACCAATAGACATATTTATTAGTCAGCCTCCACCAGAATAAAACTTTCACTAAATTTTTAAAACTGTAATACCACCCCCATCTACTCAGCTACAGATGTGATGTTAGATGTAAGGGGAGATTTAATCTATATACAGAAGTTGTCCAATTCATGCTCGACATTACTAGATTTTACTTTTTTTGTATTAGTTTCTCATTCAGATGATCTTGGATCCCTACTCTATTATTTCCTACCTTAAAGAAATGGCATATAGTAGATTCAGTGAGATGACTTTGTGGGTAAAGACACCTGTAGTCAAGTCTAATGACTTGAGTTCCATCCCGATGACCCACAGGGTGGAAGGAGAGAACTGATTCCTGCAATTTGACATACACACACAGATACACACACACACACACACACACACACACACACACACACAGAGAGAGATAGCGAGCACACAGAAAGAGTGAGCATACAGAGTGAGCAGAGACAGCAGACAGTGATAGAAAGAGAGAGCGAGAGAGAGAGAGAGAGAGAGAGAGAGAGAGAGAGAGACAGAGAGACAGAGAGAAACAGAGAGACACAGAGAGAGAACAGGGTGTCCTGATTAATTTTTGGTCAGTTTAACAAGAGCAAGACTTATCTGTGAAGAGAAACCTCAGTGGAGATAATGAGTCTCAGACTGGCCTGTTGGCAAAAATACAGGGCATTTTCTTGAGTAATGGTTGACATAGAAGGGCCCAGACCACTGTAGGGGTGGTTGCTAAGTGATATAAGGAATCCAACTGAGAAATTCATGAGGATCAAGCCAGTAAGCAGCACTCCTCCATGACTTCTGCTTCAGTTCCTGACTCTAGCTCCTGCCTTGACTTCCCCTGATGACAAACTGTAACCTGTAAGACAACTAAGCCATTCAACCCACAGGCCACTTTTGGTCAAAGTTTGTAACACAGCAATAAAGACCTACTAGGACACGTGTCTATTAAATGAATAAATAAAAATTAAAAATCATGCATAATAAGTGTATTATGAGTTTCTGTGACTAAGCTTCTCCAACTAGAAATGAAATAATAATAGAATTTATTATCTGTGAAGGTTTGAATTTTTATCCACAAGTATTTAGATAGGAACTCATTCTGTAGCTTAGGCTAACTCATTAGCTTACTATGTAGCCAAATCTGGTGTCAAACTCTTGGCAATCCTCATGCCTCAGCCTCCCCAGTTCTGGGATTCAAGTTGTCATTCATCACGCCTGGGGACTGTGTTTTAGATTTTACATGTCTTCTAGAGTCCTGTGAGTTAAAGTCTCAGTGGTAAACCTGCAATCCAACTGGGAGGTGGTAAAACCTTTAGAAGGTGGAGCTTTCTAAAGTTCATTTATTGGCAGAGAACCCCTGAGGGTGATGTTGATAGACAAGTCCCTTCTTGCTTCTCTTTGTTGATATTTTTTTGAGACAGGGTTTCTCTGTGTAGCTTTTGGAGCCTGTCCTGGAACAAGTTCTTGCAGACTAGGCTGGCCTCAAACTCATGGAGATCCGCCTGCCTCTGCCTTCTGAGTGCTGGGCTTAAAACCACGTGCCACCACCACCCGGCCATCCTTCCTCTCTCTGTTGATGCCACATGAAGTGAGTAGTTCTTCACCATGTGTTACTTGCAATGGTATTCTGATCCCATATGAGCTAAGACAACAGAGACAACCAACCATGAATTGTACTGGAGCCTCCTACTATGAAAGAAACGTCTCCTTAGAGTCTTCCAAATTCCCCCCACCCCCTCTCTCACCTTTGTCTTACAATTTTGTTTAAAGTAGTGTGCATTCATGAAATAATGAAGGAAATGATTACTGGGGAGTGTTGAAGGCCAACATAGCTGTGCTATCTGGATCAAGATCCAAACACATGGAGGAGCTACATATGAATAATGTACACGGTTCAACAAACTTTAGTATCATGGAGAGATGTACAGATAGATAATGAAGAAATATCAGGGTCCATGTCAGGAGAGACTTTCCACTTCATAACTACCTGCTATTGCATGGGAAACATGAGATGGTGTGGTGCATGCCAGCTTTTCCTGGGAGGCATGTACCAGGGCTCATGATGGTTACTGTCTAAGGAAGTTGCATATGATCACTGGGTAACATTTTGTTCCAAGAATCAGGAGTCCTAAGCCATCAAAGAGTGTGCTCAATTTTTCATCATGTGCCTTCTCAAGCATTGGCCTGACTCCTTGAGTCTGAAATCACCATGATTTTTGATAGTGTCTCTTGCATCTGTTGACAATGTCGGTGGAGTCTCTTTTTCTGGGGAGCAGTAGGGAAGGCACAAGTTTTTCCCTGAGACAAATTCCAAGGATCTAGCCAGCATCAACCACACCACCAAGCTCTGATGGAGGATCTGAAGTCAGTGGAGTTGTGGTCACAATTCTTGAATGGGATAACTGAGCTGATAGGATGTTTGTTGATATATGTTACCCTTGCTTAGCTTTTCTGTGATTAAGCCCCATTTTATTCTTTCTGTTTCCCCCATTAGGGGACTAGCTTTTTGGTCACAAGCTCCTGGATAGTGAAAGACCATGTACTGTGTGGTTGGATTATTTCTTGGAAATACCAAGTAAGAGTAAGTTTCACATTTCCTCAAGTAGATTCTATTCAACACCTAAGACAAAGTGCTTTGTGCCTTGTATTCACTTGTAGTAGGAGGCTGCTTGTTTGTTTCCCAGCTGCCCAGACTCCTGAAAAAAATCACACAGAAACTGTATTATTTAAATCACTGCATGGCCAATTACTTAAGCGTATTGCTATCTAGCTCTTACATCTAGAATTAACCCATTTCAATAGTTTTATATTTTACCACAAGGCTCGTGGACTACCAGCAAGGCTGACAGCTCACGTCATTCTCTTCTGGTGGCTCCATGGTGTCTCTTTGAGTCTGCATACTCTCTCTCTTGCTCTCTATATCTATCTATATCTATATCTATATCTATATCTATATCTATATCTATATCTATATCTATATCTTCTTCCAGCCTGGCTATATTCTGTTAAGCCATTGGCCAAAAGTAGCTTCTTTATTAACCAATAAAAGCAACACATATACAGAAGAACTTCCCACACCATTCACGATCTATTGATATTCATATAACAATTCTGTATAAATATTATAATCACCCCTCCAGGAACTGCGAATCGAATGGAAAGAGTACCTGTTTCTGAGGCAGGCAAGAGATTTGTAATTGCCTAGTGAGTGCTTATTAATTGACCTGTGAAGAGAAGTTGGTTGTAATTTTTCATATTTGTTGGACTGGCTGATGTCAACCTATATTACTTTGCCTCACCATTTCTATAGGACAACTCTGCTGAGAGAAGACTTACCTTGAATGAGAGTAGCACCGCTCCATGGGTTGGGGCGGTAGACTGACGACAGAAAAAGAAGTGAATGGAACACTAGAACTCATTTTTTTGTTTACTGACGGTGAACACAAGGCTACTAGCTGTTTCATGCTCCTTTTTCCATAGCTACAGCTGATCTCAGTGTTCTACCTTATCGCAGTGGACTGAATGCTGTGAGTAAATGGGCAGGAGAAAAGGCTCAAGAGTTGAGAGCATTTACCGATCTCTCAGAAGACCCATGTTCAGTTCCAAGCACCTGCATGGCAGCTCACAGTCATTTGTATCTTCCAGTGTCAGGGGACTCCACTTTTTTCTGGCTTCCAAAAGTGTCCCACACATGGTGCGCTAAGATACATGTGGGAAAAACACTTATATCCGCTGGTTTTCTATTACTGAGAGAAGACAACACAATGAAGGCAACTTATAAAATAAAGAGTTTAATTGAGCCTATTACAATATGCCAGAGGTTTAGAGTCCATGATGGCTGAATGAAGGATTGGCAGCAGGAGCAGAAGCTGAGAGCTCACATCTCAAGTCACAAACAGGAAGCAGAGAGAAGAAACTTGGGAATAGACCAAATCTTTTGAAACCTCAAAGTCTGTCCCCAATGACATACTTCCTCCAAGCAAGATCACATCTCCCAAACCTCCCCAAACAGTGCCACAAACTGTTGACAATATATTCAAATGTCAGAGAATAGGGGATACACATCATTTAAACCACCGTAACACACACACACACACACACACACACACACACACACACACACCCCAAACCTATGAGTCAGAATAAATCCCTTTATCTCTAAATTTATTCTGTTAAATATTTTGTTGCAGCAATGAAAAAGCAGCTACTATCAGAGATTGGTCCCCAGGAGCGGGGTCGTTGCTGCCATTATGCTGCTCACCTGGACTATAGATTGTGGGAAACGTTATGCGGGAGAAACGTTACGTGGGAAACTTTACTCATGTGTGGCTGTGACCCGGCACATCCTGATAATTCTGTAAGCAGAGCTTACTGGACCTTTTTGGCAGGGTTTGGAAGCTGTGAATGCTGAGAAACCTGGGCAGTGGTGACTGGGCTTACATTTTCAAGTGAAACAGAGAAAAGAGGTAGGGGACTGGAGAGATGATTCAGTGGTGAAGAGCTCTTGTTCTTTTTTTTTTTAATTTTTTAAATTTATTTATTTATTAAGGATTTCTGCCTCATCCCCACAACTGCTTCCCATTTCACTCCCCCTCCCCGATCAAGTCCCCCCCCCCATCTGCTCGAAGAGCAATCAGGGTTCCCTGACCTGTGGGAAGCCCAAGGACTGCCCACCTCTATCCAGGTCTCGTAAGGTGAGCATTCAAACTGCCTAGGCTCCCACAAAGCCAGTACGTGCAGTAGGATCAAAAACCCACTGCAATTGTTCTTGAATTCTCAGTATTCCTCATTGTCCGCTATGTTCAGCTAGTCCGGATTTATCCCATGCTTTTTCAGACTATAATTCATGTTCCTAGAGAAGCTAAATAAGGTGAATCCAAAGACAAACACATAGGCATCCTCAGGAATATTAACCTTCATCAGGCGATGAAAGGAGACAGAGACAGAGACCCACATGGGAGCACCGGACAGAAATCTCAAGGTCCAAATCAGGAGTAGAAGGAGACGGAGCACGAGCAAGGAACTCAGGACCACGAGGGGTGCACCCACACACTAAGACAATGGGGATGTTCTATTGGGATCTCACCAAGGCCAGCTGGCCTAGGTCTGAAAGAGCTCTTGTTCTTACAAAGGACCTACGTTCAGTTCTCAGGCACAACCATCTGATATTCCAGTCTTTGGGATCTGATGCCCTCATCTGGTCTCTGTGGGCACTGCAGGCCCATGGTGCAGAGACTACATGCAGACAAAACACACATACACATAAATAAAAATTCTAAAAAGATTGAAGTAGAATAAAAATTACAAACCTTTAAAATGCAGTTAAGTGAATATACTTCGAAAAATGTAGTAAAGAGATGGATAAGGAAAACACCAGAGGTGAAGTTAAAAAAGAAAGAAAGAAAAATTTAAAAAGAATCAAAGAAGTAAAGAACTGTTAGCCCAGTTTTTTTTTTTTTTTTGAGTCTTCGAAGACTGGAGACTGACAGTTAATTGGGCAGGAGGAAGGACAGTTGAACTTTTTGGCTTTTGTGTGTTGGGTAGTTTACACTTGTTGCTGAGCCTGCATTGGACTTTGTTAGAGACATGACTTGGCTCTAATATGGCCACTTCTTTGTGCCACAGTGCCCTCTACTGGCCCAAATGAGCTTGTGTTGTCTCTGGACTTGGGCAGATTTTCTCACAAGAGAGACTCTGACTGTACCTCCTGGGTTGGGTTGACATTTGAATAAGGGGACATTTCTTCTGGGCGTGTTGGGAATGTGAGAAGCAAAGGCACTGACACCCACATGGTTGGAAGCCCTGTCATCATAATTCCCCCAATTCCTGCAGATGTGGATATCCCCGCTGGAGGGATGCAGCTGCAGATATTACAGCTAGACCTTCAGGGTTTTCTACTCTGCAGGCATGTATGGCAGACAAGTGTCTCTAGAGGTTGTTCCACCCACTGACCTCAGGCACAGAGCTAGAAAAATAGTTATTCTCATTTGAGGAGATTGTCTGGCCATGAGGAGAAAGGCTTTTCTTATATGCCTTATCTCGTATCTAATATACCTTATCTTTGGTATTATATACCCTTTCTTATATACTGTATATTGGATACCTTTCCTTATATACTTCAGTCCTTGAACTGAGCTCCTACTACCTGCTGTTTATTGACTTGACAGCATCCAGCCCTCCTGCTCTCTATAACTGTGTCCTAGGTTTCTGTCTTCTCCTGTGGCTGTATCAGGCTGAGTCCAGGCTCCTGTATTTGTAGTTCTCTGTCTCAAATTCCTGGAGAAGTTCAGTTTTAAACAGCAGATTCACTGTGAAGATGTCACTAGATGCTCCTTGAATTGTATAGAACGACAAAGTAAGATTTCTGCCCACTGCCGACTCATTCACCACAGGAATTACCATCTCATTAAAAATATGCACCTTGTTGCAAGGCCCAAAAGAGCTCGAGGTTTGTCTGGAGTGGAGACTGCCATTTTGGTTTTACCTTGGATGCTTCAGCTTCCTCTTGATACCAAAGAACTGTGAAGCTTGAATTGTGTTCTGCTGGGTTTAATTTTTGTCTATGTATATCTGTATGGAGTGCATGTCTGTGTGCATGTGTGTGGAGAGGACAGAGGACAACAGCAGGTGTCCACTTTGGTCACTCTCAACCTTTTACTTTAAAACAAGGTCTCAGGGAGAGGTTAGCTTTCCTGTTCTCAGCAGTCCCCAGTTGCCTGTGGTTGGGGGACCTGTGAAAACTTCCTCTTCTGCACTAGCATGTCTATTGACACTGCTCTTGTTCCACTGCCATTACTAGGAGATAGTTTCACAGTAGATATCCTGGTCCTTTGGTTTTTCTAATCTTCCCACCCCTCTACCACAATGTTCCCTGTTCTATAGATGAAGGAATGTGATGTAGATGTATTCATTGAGGCTGGGATCCCCAGGATTCCTGATGTTTTCATTGTGTCTACTTGTGGGTTTCTGTATTCTGTGATGGTCTCCATTTCCTGTAAATATAGACTTCTTTGACCCTTACAACGTAATTCTATTTTAGTTAAAATGTATATTTTTTAAAAGCAGAGTCTCTCACATGACTCAGAGCTCAGCAATTCATCACTGGAAGTGCAAGTGATCCACTGTTTCTGCCAGGCATTTTTACTATGTAGGCATTGAAGATCTGAACTCTGGACATCATCTTTCCATAGCAAGTTTAGTCAGGGAGTCCTCTCCTAGTCTTTTGACTTATTTCTCTTCAGTGTTTTGTTCCTTCTTTTCTCCAGTACCTCTCAGTGGTTCTAGCATGACTGTTGTAGATTTAGGAAATTCTTTTCCTTCCTTCCTTCCTTCCTTTCTTCCTTCTTCTTCTTCTTTTTCTTCTTCTTCTTCTTCTTCTTCTTCTTCTTCTTCTTCTTCTTCTCCTCCTCCTCCTCCTCCTCCTCCTCCTTCTCCTCCTCCTCCTCCTTCTTTTTCTTCTTCTTCCATTCCAAACACAGTTCTCCCTCCTACTCCTGCCCATTCTTTCTCAAACAGAACATTCCATTAAGGAGGACACAGGCTTACAGGTTCTATAGACAGTAAAAATGCAAACTCATTATTGTATCTCTTTGTTTTTATGTTACACACAAAAATGGAGTCTCTATTGATTCCCTGTGTATCAGAATCATTGGTAATTTTTACTGGCCTGAAATTGGGGTATATACATAGTAGCTCTAAGATCCAAGTCTATCTCTGCCTTTCTGTAGGTTTTTGACCTTGGGTAAAACTTTTCTTTCAAACTTGCTTCAATACACCAAATGCTGTAGGCTAGATAGCAGCCTTGGTTCTGAGAAAATTGGAAAGCTTTCTCTTTAGCACAAGTGACAATAGCCTTAGGACATAATAACTATTCAGTTGAGACATAAAGGAATAATGGGTTCTTTCTGATGTCCATCACAGTCTTTCCAGAGGGTGAGGTGCTCTGTCCTTTGATCACAGTGTCCTTCAGCATGCATAACAAGGCACTTTTGACCACTCTTCATTCACTATGCACACATTTGTCAGAATTTGCATAACTGCATGAATATTCAGGGGCATATATGTCTATTTTCTTTTGGAAAAGTTATGACACAGTAAGGAGGATTAGAAGAATGTTCTTCAATAAAGAAGGTAAAAAGCAGCTTACTCCCAACCACTTACCACACTCTATTAATAAGGGATATGAACCGGAACCTTTCATTACTGGAGATGTGTGTAATACTGGAGATGGACTGTGATAGCTCTGATTGGAGATTGTGCTATGATGGAAAATAGTGAGCAAGAATTAACTAAAATAGTAACAATTTTCCTCCCAAATTAGGCTCCAAAAATAACTTTTGTCTCTTGGACTGGGATTCTTTGCTTTTTTCACACATGTGAGCTAAGTTGTAACTGGCATTAAGTCAATTATTTCCGAAGGAGAAATGGCATTTCCAATGACTGTGAGAAGATCAGGTGTTCTTTTTTTTCTTTATTTATTTTTAATTAAAAATTTCCACCTCCTCCCTTCCTCCCATTTCCCTCCCCCCATCCCTCTCCCTCTCCAGTCCAAAGAGCAGTCAGGGTTCCCTGCTCTGTGGGAAGTCCAAGGTCCTCCCCGCTCCATCCAGGTCTAGGAAGGTGAGCATCCAAACAAACTAGGCTCCCACAAAGCCAGTACACACAGTAGGATCAAAACCCAGTGCCATTGTCCTTGGCTTCTCATAAGCCTTCATTGTCCTTGGCTTCTCAGTCAGCCCTCCTTGTCCAACATATTCAGAGAGTCTGGTTTGATCACAAGCTCCATCAGTCCCCGTCCAGCTGTCTTTAGTGAGCTCCCATTATATCAGCCCCACTGTCTCAGTGAGTGGGCGCACTATAAAGATCTTTAACCTGTAAGATCTCGGGGACTCTGGGGTGGAGATGAGCTAGATAGTTCTGCTAAGGATGCTTGAAAGGAACCCATGACTTTTCACTTATTCATGAGACACTTAGTTTTAATGGATGATTTGACTCTTTGGTCCCCAGTTTCTAAGTCTTTGGCCCTAGTGGAATCAAGTACAGGATCCCACATGTGATGAGACTTCTAAGGGTGTGTTCAAGAAGCACTGCTAGCCTGTGTGTTTCTTAATTGTATCTGATAAGGATATTTGTTATCCATGGCAACATTGGAGGGGCTTTATGGCCTTTACATTAGTTTAGTCAAAGTATAAAAAGCCTATGTTTTTGAAACTCATCTTCAGATTCTGTGCCTTTATCAGCATTTCCCCTCATGTTTACATATGGTTACAACAGAAAAAATGTTTGAAAAAAGAATCCCTGATTTCTTTATAGACAGTTGGTGGCTAATGACTGTTAATCCCACTTTTTACCATGATTGGGCTTTAAGACCATTTGTTGTTTGTTTTGGATTATCTTGAAGTACACCAAGTCAGTTGCAATGGAGACATCTACTTCAGTTTTGGTGTTCAAATTCTAAACATCTCCCTCACTGTTAACCTTCCTCTCTCCATTCCCATCTTTTCCCATCCTCCCTCTTTCTCTCTCCTCTTCTTTCTTCTTTCCTGATCCCCAAGGACAAATTATTGGTTAATTATTGCTCTTGAAATCAGACAAGAGTGGGGCTGGAGAGATGGCTCGGTGGTTAAGAGCATTGCTGCTCTTTCAGAGGATCCGGGTTCAATTCCCAACACCCACATGGCAGCTCACAACTGTCTGTATCTCCTGCTTCAGGGGGTCCAACGCTCTCATACAGACATACATGCAGGCAAAACACCAATGTGGATAAAATAAAAATAAATTATTTTTTTAAAAAAGAAATCAGACAAGAGTTGGATGCAATCTCAAATGCACCCGCGTGGTGCTATGTAGAATAAATACTATTATATCTACATGTTTAATTTCCAAAGAACCCAGAAGAACACACAGACTACATCTTTTAAAGTTGTAAGATTTTCAAAGATTGGCTTTCATGTTGGAAAAGCCAAAGCTCCCCTACAGAGCAAACAACACTTTCAGAATGACAGCAAGGAACATTCTAAGATAGATGTTGAATCATTTTACGCCATTTAGGACAAAGGGAATTCACTGTGGAGGAAGTTTGTGTGAGAAGACAGAGTAGGAGGAGCAGAAAGGGAGAGTATAAAGTCAGAGGCAAGGTTTGCTCCTGTGTGTGCCTTCTGCAGGCAACTAGAGGTGATGAGACATCTTGTGGGCTGGCTGTTGTTAGCTGTCTGCATGTATGGACTGGATGCAGGTGAGGTGGAAAAGAAGGGGTAAGAATTGAAGTGGGAGAACCCAGAGCAAGTAAGGATTGAGAAAGGCTGGAAATCAACAGTCCATGACATCTTTTCAGTACAGGAAGCAGAGGGTGGAGAGCTGTGGATTGAACTATTGTTCGTTCTTTCCCTCCTTGGTTGAGTGAGCACAGAATAGGTGACTTTACATGGAAGGAAGCCCTAGTTTCAACATCTGTAGAGTGATAAAAATGCCTTCATGAAACAGGGATACTATTACAGGTTGTTTTTAAAATTTTTGCAAAGTCTGTTTTTAAGGAAACAAGTTCTAAAATAAATAGTGTATGGACTTAGAGATTCTTTGCATTAGGATGGTCTATTAATGCCTTCCTAGCTGGCTGTTGACTGTCAGTGTCTGTAAGTTTCAAACACACACTACATGGGCTGCCTGTGGGGCAGATTTCAGAGAGACTGGGCTCAAGTTTGGTGGGAGAATTTTCATGTGGATTTTTTTTATAAGTCATTTGTAATTTGAACCATATGAATGACATCCTTAGAAAACAAGTAACCTCAATGCAGAACAAGGGGTCTCATCTTATGGTGTAGTTGTGAGGGTTAATCAGGAAGGGCAGAGGAGTTCCTGTAGAGTGGCCAGCATCTTGCAGCTGTGTCCACAGGAATGCAGAGTCCTAGAGAAATTTGGACTTGCTGTGCATGGTAGCTTGAAGAGCACAGAGCGTGGGGTACTGTGTCTAATGAAGAGAGAGGCAGAACATTTTGTTGTAGTAGTAGTTTGTTTTGAAGGAGTCTCACGGAGTCCAAATAGATTTCATGCTCACCATGTAGATGAAGATAACCTTAAATTCCTGATTTCCCAGTTTCTATCTTCTGAGTGCCAAGATTACAGATGAGCGCCACTATCCCTAGTCAGTTTATATGTTATTGGGATCAAACTCAGGGCTTCTTTGTGAATGTTATGCAGGCACTCAACCAACTGAACCATATCCTCATCTCTTAGAAAGGATTTAGATTCTCGCTATCAGAGATCTAAAGAGGAAGAATCAGGCAATGTGGAATGCTTTAATATAGTATCTAAGTAACTCTTGTCTATGACAAGGAGGAGTAGCTGTATTTAAGAAAGGACTGAAAACAGATAGGTAGAAGAGAGGGGTTGAAGGCTGGAGGGGGAGAATTCAGAGCAAGTAAGGACTGAGAAAGGCTAGAGGTCAAAATGAAAGCATACTTAGTCATGATGTGATATTTACTCTCTTTGACCAAGGGAGTCACATCACTTGCTGTCAGGGCTTTATTTCCCTCCTGTGTTCCATGGAATGATTTTAGCCTACTCCAGGGAAGACATCAAAAGAGTGAGAACTCACATCTGAGTGGATGGAGCTTCCTGGCTTTCCAAAGCTTGCAGTGACATTTCCTGGGCAGATATACAACCCAAGCTTGATGAGATGATAGTCATTCTGAATATGCAGTGCTTTAGAAGGTGGCTTACATTTTACCAATTATTTTTTTTTTGTCTTTTAGACTTGATTCCCTATTTACACCCCCCAGAGGAAGGTAAGAAAGAAACCTCTATCTAGCAGCATCTTAAATGTCAGCTTCCACCCCTCAAAGAGTAAGAGGTGCACACTTTCCTGCCATGGAAACTTTTTCTGACCTAAGAGGATTCCCTGGGTCACATCAGCTAAACAATATTAAAGAACTCACTTGTCACTCAAGAAAGGCACTTTTTACCCATTGGGACTTTGATAAGGCACTATGTGCATTTCTGTACTTGATAGTTTATTCTCTTTTCTTTGGCAAATAGTTATTATGCATGTATGGAGTCAACTTTGATGTTTTTATATTGGTTCATATGAGTCATTAAATCAAGGTCATTAATGTGATTAATAAAACCATCTTTTTACAAATATTATCTAAAATTTTTATCTTTTAAAAATATTGCATTACTTCCCTTTATTTCCTTTCCATTCTCTAACTTCTCCAATGTTCCCTCTATATTACTCTCAAATTCCTGCCCTCCTCTTCTGTAATATATAACTTATATATTCTTACATATATAGTCATAGCTTGCTGCATCTGTACAGGGATGCATGCATGTACATGATTTTAGGGCTGACCACTTGGTATTGGATAATCAAGTAGGAGACTCCTCTATGAGAAAAAAAAAACTATTTCTCCCACTCTCAGCATCCTTTAGTTTCCTATAGTTTTTTGACTAGGGGTGAGGTTCAGTGATATTTTCCCCTTCTGTGTTAGCATGTCCATTATTGTTGTCCTTGCTCAGGTCTTGTTTAGGCAACTATATTGTTGAGCTATCGTGGGCGAAGCTTTCCTTTCATTTCTAGGAGACACAATCTCACAGTAGAGTATCTGGTCCTCTGACTCTTACAATTTTTCTGTTCTTCTTCCACAATTTTCCCCGGGTCTTCTGTGATGAAGCTGTGTTATAGATGTATCTACTGGGAATGGGAACCTCATGATCAGTTGTTCTTTGTTTTTTGACCAGTTGTGGTTTTCTGTAATGGTCTCTGTTGCCAAAAGAAGTGTCTTTGATGAAGGGAAGAACTGCACTTATCTGTGGGTATGTGGATAAATATTTAGAATGAGTTAGGAATTATCCTGAAAAGATTCGGATTTTTTATAAGGAAAGATAAGCAATGCCAAAACCTTTTCTTCTTTTAAGAACAAGAGAATGTCAGTGGGTCGTCTGTATGGCTCAGTTTATGATATGAGTGAGCTCAGGTCCTTCAGAGTGGAGCAGTGCATATGGAGAAGGCGAAGATGCTATTGTTGCAGACAGGGCAGAGAAAATTATAAGTGATGCCAATGCTTGTAGATGGTGGTGGGGGACTGGAGAGATGTTTGGGGATCGCATTAGTAAATCAGAGGAACAGATGATAGGAAAGGTTCCAGACTATGAGCTCTGGAAATGAAGTCTCTCACTGCTAATGGACCTCCCACTGAGGAAATCTCTGACACTGTTGGAGATTTGCTGGTATTTTCTGTCACAAACAGGAAAGGTAGCAAGTGACACTAGCTGCAGCTGTATGCAGGCATTCTGGGAGAGCAGGACCGTGCCTCACTGAAATGAACATTTTAAAATCAAGTTCCAGCTGGGAACGGTGAGGCAGGGGGACTGACATGAGTTAGAGGCCAGTCTTGGCTCCAGATTCTAAGACAGACTACGTTACAGGAGTGAAATTTTGCTTAAAATTTAAATGAAATACAAAAATTAAAAAGTCAATTCCTGCTAAGCATCTTAGTGAATGCTTTTAATGCTAACACTCAGGAGGCAGAGGCAGGTGGATCTCTGAGTTAAGGGCCAGCCTGGTCTAGATAGCAAGTTGTAGGCCAGCCAAGGTCAGCCTAATGAGAACCTGGAATCAAAGAAACAAAAGATAATACAATAAACTCATTTCCCATCTTGAGCATCTTTTAAATTTTGAAATTGTTCTCTTCTCCAGAATTTCCTGCGCAAAACTGTACTTTTCCGTTCATCTATAATGAGGTAGTCTACCACAGCTGCATCTCTGTTCACAGTGACTTTGATTGGTGCTCCCTTGATTATTATTTCCAAGGAAGGTGGAGATACTGCAAAGCATTTGGTGAGAGTCCTATAAAGGTATATATTAGTTATTCAGGACCCGAGAGACAGTGTGTAGAATCTGGAGAAAATGTTTTAGATTTCAGAAAATGGTCTTTCCTACATAAAAAAAAAATCATAGAAAAAAAGCTCAATGTTTTTTCAGCATGGCTTAATTTGAGGACAGTATTCATAGTTTACCCCTTACCCATCTTTTTATGCAGATCCTCCAATATGTATCTTCCCTTTCCAACTTGGAAAAAAGTCCATTAACGAATGCACCAAGCAAGGCTACATTTTGAATCGGAGTTGGTGTTCATTGACTGACAACTACAACAGAGATAGGAAATGGAAGCAATGCTCTCCTTACAAGTAAGATGATGGGAGAAGGTGGAACAATGTCCTATGAGCTGCGAAAGGAGCAAGACATTAGGTTGATGGATGGGGAATCTTAGATCTCTGTCTCCTCCTGCTATGACTTAGTCAGGGGGCAGTAGACTTTTCCTGTGAAGTATCTCCTGTTGAGTACAGCAGGTTTATCAGAGTGTGTGGTACTGGTCACCAATATTCAGCTCAGCTTTGCAGCACAAACGTGGCCACAAACAGAACAAGTGTACTGGACCATGGGCAAAGCTAATGTTCTGGTGTCTAATGTTGTTTCATTATTATAATGGCACGGGCATTGCTTACCTTTGTCATTGCTGTGACAAAACACATGATGAAAACAACTCAACAAAGGAGGGACGGTTTTCTCAGGTTCCTGGTTTGAGGGAACACAGCCAGCGGTGGTATGGAAAGAAGGGGTGGTGGGGTAGAACTCGAGTCAGCTGATCGCATTGTATCGGCATTCAGTAGAGACAGATGATAGACAGACAGACAGACAGACAGACAGAGGCTTGTACTCAGTTGGATCACTCCTTTTTTTTCTTTTTCTAGTGACTGAGGCTTCAGTCCAAGAGCTGTTGTTGCCCACATTTAGGTGAGTTTTTACTTCTCAGTTAACCCTTTTCTGACATGCCTGCATGTGTGTTTCCTAGGTGATTCCAAATCCAGTCACATTAGCAATGACTACTAATTAGTCATGTTGTTACGCGTGCATTGTTTTCCAGTTTTAAAACTTGTTTTGAGTCACAAAGTCAATATGACATAGATACTCACTGAAACTCTGAAGCAGCACACGGCAAGAGAAACGTCAGCATTCTTTCTGCTCTCCTCCCAGGAACTCCCTTCTTCCACAGGTGCTTGTGCCACCCCAGACATCTCCACCGATACGTATCTCTTTAAGATATTACTGAATCTGCTTTCCTCTTTGTCACCATGGCTTGATCATCACGTAAAACACACTGAGGGGGTTTCCCCTATGAATACATCAATCTCCCTCACTTTCTTGTTGCATGCTTGTCAAATTTTAAGTGGTTAGAGATTATCCATCATCCATATATGAAGCTTCCGATTAAAACAAAGCTTCTGAACATTGACAGTGATGGATGGATTTTTCAAACAGTGGACAGCATAACTTTATGTCATTATAAAAAGCAAGATGTATATTCAGTTTTTATTCAGTTAGCATTTAAATTTTTTTAATATTTTTTTATTGAGAAAATGAGAAAAAAAAAACAAGTTTCCACCTCCTCCCAGCCTCCCATTTCCCTCCCCCTCCTCCTACCCTTCTCCCCCTCCTCCCACCCTTCTCTCCCTCCTCCCACCCTTCTCCCCCCCCCACTCCTCTCCCCCTCCCTCTCCAGTCCAAAGAGCAGTCAGGGTTCCCTGCCCTGTGGTAAGTCCTAGGTCCTCCGTCCTCCGACCATATCTAGGAAGGTGAATATCCAAACTGGCTAGGCTCCCGCAAAGCCAGCACATTGCATAGGATCAAAACCCCTTGCCATTGTCCTTGGCGTCTCATCAGCTCTCATTGTTCGCCATGTTCAGAGAGTCCAGTTTTATCCCATGCTTTTTCAGTCACAGTCCAGCTGGCCTTGGTGAGCTCCCAATAGATCAGCTCCACTGTCTCAGGGGGGGGGGGGTGCACCCCTCGTGGTCCTGACTTCTTTGCTCATGTTTTCCCTCCTTCTGCTCCTCATTAGGACCTTGGGAGCTCAGTCCAGTGTTCCAGTGTGGATCTCTGTCTCTATCTCCATCCATCACCAGATGAAGGTTCTATGATGATATGCAAGATATTTGTCAGTATTGCTATAGGATAGGGTCATTTCAGGTTCCCTATCCCCAGCTGCCCAAGGAATTAACTGGGGACCTCGGCTTGGGCACCTGGGAGCCACTCTAGGTTCAAGTCTCTTGCCAACCCTAAGGTGGCTCCCTTAACTAAGAATTGTGCTTCCGTGCTCCCCTATCCAACCTTCCTTTATCCCAATCCTCCTTTTTCCCCAAGTTCCCCCCTTCCTCCCCTTCTCCCATTTTTCTCCCCATCTCCCCTTACCCCCATCCCACCCCACCCCCAAGATCTCAATTTTCTCCCCGGCAACTTTGTCTACTTCCCATAGCCAAGAGGATAACTATATGTTTTTCCTTTGGTTCACCTTCTTACTTAGCTTCTTTAGGATCACCAATTGTAGGCTCTGTGTCCCTTATTTATGGCTAGAAACCAATTATGAGTGAGTACATCCCATATTCATCTTTTTGGGTCTGGGTTACCTCACTCAGGATAGTGTTTTCTATTTCCATCCATTTGCATGCAAAACTCGAGAAGTCATTGTTTTTTTTACCGCAGCATAGTACTCTAATGTGTAGATATTCCACACTTTCTTCATCCATTCTTCCATTGAAGGGCATCTAGGTTGTTTCCAGGTTCTGGCTATCACAAACAATGCTGCTATGAACATAGTTGAACAAATGCTCTTGTCATATGATAGGACATCTCTTGGGTATATTCCCAGGAGTGGTATTGCCGGGTCCAGGGGTAGGTTGATTCCAAATTTCCTGAGAAACCGAAACACTGATTTCCAAAGTGGTTGCACAAGATTGCATTCCCACCAGCAATGGATGAGGGTACTCCTTCCTCCACAGCCTCTCCAGCAAAGGCTATCATTGGAGTTTTTTATTTTAGCCATTCTGACAGGTGTAAGATGATATCTCAAAGTTGTTTTGATTTGCATTTCCCTGATCGCTAAGGCGGTTGAGCATGACCTTAAGTGTCTTTTGGCCATTTGAACTTCCTCTGCTGAGAATTCTCTGTTCAGTTCAGTGCCCCATTTTTTAATTGGGTTAATTAGCATTTTATAGTCTAGTCTCCAAAATTTTTATTTAAATATTCTATGCAATATGTTTTGATTGTATTGCCCCCTCTTTTTCCAGAACCTCCTTATCAATATTCGGCTACTTCTTTACCTTATATTCTCTCTCTCCATTTCTCAAACACACACACACACACACACACACACACACACACACACACACAAATATATATACACATGCACACATGTGTATGTACACATCCCCATCCCTCAAAAACCGTTACAATGAAGAATATGTGCAGCCTTCTGAAGCCATTGGTATTATGCCAAATGGACTCATGCTATTCTAATCTCCTATCAAAGAGGAGACAAGACTGTTTAATAGCAAGGGATACAAATGAGACATTGACATTGGGAGGGTGGAGAACCAAGATATTCATTCTAACATGTTACCTTCCCTTCAGTTTTTAGGTAAGCTGTGTGCTTTTGAAGAGACAGAAGTTACAGATTCATTGGTTGCTTCTCTAGCTACAATTCTCTGTCATTAAGGAGTATTATGATAATAAATGTCTATGCTCTTGTCTATCTGGATATCCTGCTTCTGGAAAAAATGTCAAAGCATACATTTGTTGTGTGAGAGAGTTTTCCTGAGGAGACAACACACACACACACACACACACACACACACACACACACACACACACACACACCTACTTACTCCAGATTCAGAACTCACAAAAAATTAAAGTAATGATAACACCAAAGTCCAATCTGGTGAACTTATTAATTTTTATTGTGACTACTAAGATGAGTATGGGTAAGGGGCTACTTACAAGAGCAAGGATTCACTCCTGCCCCCAAATCAGCTGTATCGCAGAAAAGCACACCTTAACAGTGACGACAACTCATGGAACCTGCACCTTGAAACTTCCTGCCCAACTTTTAACTCTAGTGGGTCCAAGAATGTCCTCTCAGTAGTTTTGCTGGACATAATATTGTCTCTAGCAGTTTTTAAATCCTTGATAAAGCTGTAAAAGGACTTTAACAAACCTTGCAAATTTCCACTTTTTGAGACGTGTGACATTTTGTTTACCTCCAGGGTCTTCTGAGCCTCCCCTTCTTCCTGGAAGGAGAGTTTGAGGAAAACACTATACAACAAAATAGGTGATTCACATTGTTACACAGTCAATGCCACCCCTCAGTAGCAGTGGGACACACACAAGTCTTCAAGAAGAGTAGTGTAAAATGAAACAAACAGACCAAAAGATAGGGAGAAATGGAAAATAGAACTAGCAAGAAACAGGTTGTGTAGCAGCCAACTCAGTGGGTAAAGTGTATGCTGGACAGGCATGAGAACCTAAGTTTGGATCCCAGAATCTGCATAAAAACAGGCATGAAAAACATTCCTGTAATCTCAGCACTGCTTGGGAGTGGGAATGGAAGCAACAGATCCAAGTGGCTTGCTGGCCAGCCAGCCTACCTCTAATGGTGAGTTTCAAGTTCAGCAACAGATGCTGCCTCAAAAACAAAGTGGAGAGAAACAGTGAGAAATATTCAAAATCAACCTCTGGCATTCACACATGTATACAAACTCAAGTGCATCTGATCCCTGTGAACACATGTATATCTAACACACACAAACACAAAGGTAGGAGAGATTGAGACACAGCTATCCCAATACATGCATAAAACAAAAGAGATAAGAGGCAATGAATCATTATAACATTTCCAGGAGTTCACAGTTCCTCATTCAATTCTGGAAATCAAAGGTAATAAAAAGGCTAAAATACAAGATAAAGCTATTAACTACTCCAGGGCCTCATGTTCCAGAGTAGTTGACCAACATATAATAGGATCCACAGCTCTGTGTGTGTGTGTGTGTGTGTGTGTGTGTGTGTGTGTGGGTGTGCGTGCGTGTGCATGCTTTTATTTGGTTAAAGTTTATTGTTTGCTTTTCCTTTTTATTTTTGGGTATTATTTTATTTTGTTTTCTTGGTTTTAGGGGCTTTAATCATTATATTGGGTTTTTATTTTTTATTTTGAGAAAGAACTTAAATTTGAGTGGATGGGGAGAGGGTATGGAAGGACTTCAGGGCAGGGAAAATAATCAAAATATATTTAAATTAAAAATTATTTAAATAAAACATAGAAATAAAGTTTAAAAATAAATTATAATATGTTTAAGTGA